TAGACAGCAACATAAGTAAATTTGCTGATGACACTAAAATAGGACGTGTAATTAAATCGGCGAGGACTCCGCAAAACTACAGGAAGATCTAAACAAATTTTTCGAATGGTCTGAAAAATGGCAGATGAAATTCAACGTGGACAAATGTAAAGGTACTCCAGTATAGGAGATGTAAACAGGCAAACCAGTTACCAGATGAACAACGATGCCATTGAGAAATCCTACTGAATTCAATCAGTGATTTAAATAAAGCTGAGTTAAATCAACCAACCCTGAAATTGGCCGCTAATGTTATCGGTGTTAGAGTCTCTGGGGACTTTAATTCTTCGTAGCGTAAATCTTTTATCAGCCTGTCTGTCTGTCATTCTATTTGTTTCTCTCAGTTCATCTATCTATCTATCTATCTATCTATCTATCTATCTATCTATCTATCTATCTATCTATCTATCTATCTATCTATCTATCTATCTATCTATCTATCTATCTATCTATCTATCTATCTATCTATCTATCTATCTATCTATCTATCTATCTATCTGCCTGCCTGCCTGCCTGCCTGCCTGTCTGCCTGTCTGTCTGTCTGTCTGTCTGTTAAACTATCATAACAGGTGACGCCTGGGCCCCGTCATCAACACTGGGTGGCCTGGGGCACACACACAGTGTTAGGTGAAAGGAGAACCTCACGCCACCAGTGCTCCTGTGGCCAACGACCTCCTACCTGCCCCTGGCCACACCTCCACCACACCACACCTCTACCACACCAACACCACCAGCACACTAACGCAACTAATTCCTTTATATAACTATCTTCTATTTTATCTAATTACATCTTAAACCTCAACTAGCAGCTATTTATATTTGAGTTTAATTATGCCATCAACAAAGAGAGAGAGAGAGAGAAGAAGAAGAAGAAGAGAGAAGAGAGAGGTCACCCTTCCCTGATCTGTAATGGGTAGATCATTAGATTCCCAGCTCATTCAAGTCCAGTGTTTTATTATATCAAACTTCAACCCGCTCGTTTGTCTTCTATTGTCAATCCGTCAATTTCTTTCAACTCCTTCCTAATTCTTCCTTGTGTGTGTGTGTGTGTGTGTGTGTTCAAGTCCCATCATGTATTGACAATGGCCCCTCTAGCCATCAGCATTACTTCTCCTTCTCTCTCTCTCTCTTCTCTCTCTCTCTCTCTCTCTCTCTGGTCTAATTAGCTTCTCGTGTCCAGGTGCTCATAACCCCTCAGGTACACGTGTGTATGTTGTTCTTCCTTATGGGACTTTAAAACTAACTCTCTCTCTCTCTCTCTCTCTCTCTCTCTCTTCTCTCTCTCTCTCTCTCTCTCTCTCTCTCTCTCTCTCTCTCTCTCTCTCTCTCTCTTATCTCATTCTTCTTTTTGTCTGTCTCATTTCACTGTCTCTGTCTGTCTTTTTCTCATTCTTCCTCTGTCTGTCTGTGTCACATTCTCTCTCTGCCTGTCTCTCATTCTTTATATCTGTCTCTGTGTGTCATTTTATCTGTCTGTCTGACTGTCTCTCTTATTTTCGCCGTCTGTCTCTCTCTCTCTCTTTCTATTTTGTCTCTGTCTTATTCTCTCTTTGTGTCCCTCATTCTTATATATGTCTCTGTCTCAATTTCTCTGTCTATCTCTCTCTGATGGTCTTTGGTCTTGTCTCTACCATATAACAACCCTCACTCCAGTCTTTCTCTGGGGGTGATGTGGTACAGACCCCAGAGAAAGACTTTATGCCATAGAATTCCTCAGACGTTTGAGAGTCACAGAAACCCACAGTGACCAAAAGATACCGTACGGGTCTTCACAGTAGACATAGAAAACCAAAGAAACCAGAAATGTCACAGGTCACAGAAAGTCACAGAAATCTCCTCATCATAGGTCAGGGTCACAGAAAGTCACAGGTCACTTAAGACAGGTTCACAGACGTCTTCCACTCTCAGGGGGTCACTCAACGCGTCACTTGTCACTCGGGAAGGTGAATGAACGGTGTTGACTCAGTATATAGAACATACTTCAGGTATCTTTACGAGTTGGTGTATTTACTGCATCAAGTGTGTGATTTACCTACACCTGTTTGGTCATTTATAAGGAACACACACACAAACACACACAAAGAGACAGACAGACAGACACACACTCACACACACAAACACACACAGAGAGACAGACAGACAGACACACACACACACACACACACACACACACACACACACACACACACACACACACACACACACACACATACAAATAACACCTTTGTTTTTACCTAGGGCTTAGTGTGTGTTCTACCGTGAAAAAGTTGAGCTCATCACAAACAGTTCTATAAATATCACAAATACCTCACATTAAATCACAAATACTTATTATATTAAAGTTTTATATTTCATAATACGTGATTTTTTTCTCGTGTTTATTAGAAATATCAACGGAAGGCCACATTATTTAATCGCCTTATGTGTGTTTTAAAGGGTGTGTGTGTGTGTGTGTGTGTGTGTGTGTGTGTGTGTGTGTGTGTGTGTGTGTGTCTGTGTGTGTGTGTGTGTTTATATTTGAATTATATTTTCAAATGAGCTCATAGTTTTAAATTTAACAACAAAAGTAAGAATCTCTTTCTATTGGTCAGTTCATGTTGTCTGTAGGTAGTTGTATCCATATGTAAACAATAACATACATATATTCATTTCACCTGTGTATATCATCAATTACATTTAATAACTAACGAGGTGATTTCATTCAAACTTGCGAAGCCAACCTCCTGAAGTGAATTGACCCTTTAATTATGATGCCCTTTGTTATGATGTGTTGACCCTTTGATTATGATGTGTGTGACCTTTGATTATGATGTGTTGACCTTTGATTATGATGTGTTAACCCTTTGATTATGATGAGTTGACCCTTTGATTATGATGTGTTGACCCTTTGATTATGATGAGTTGACCCTTTGATTATGATGTGTTGACCCTTTGATTATGATGTATTAACCCTTTAATTATGATGTGTTTTAAGTGGTCCTAAATCTTTCATTATTCTCTAAGTACATTCAATGAATCCTAATATTTGCGTTACCCTTAAATATATACTCCTAAGACCCTTTAAATCTGCCTTCCTTAAACACCCTTATTTAAGTATGTCGAAATTACTCCTTATATTTAGATTACCTACTAATTATTTACTTTACCTTAATCATACTTTTCTTTAAATGTCAATGTCCTTAATGTTTGGTGGTCCCCCTTCCCCTCACCCCCCACCTACTACCCCCCTTTATTCTTAATGTTTTGGTGGTCCCCCTTCCCCTCTTCTCCCCCTTAATCTGCTAGTGGTTTAATGAGGACAGTAAAGTGTTGCTGGTGTGTTGAACATCCACCAGGCTCTGTCATCTATGGCCCCTCACCAGCCCTCACCAGCCCCTCCCAGCCTCTCACCAGCCCCTCCTGGCCCTCACCAGCCCCTCGTGTTCCTGCCCGTCCTCCACAGCCTTAAGGATAAACCATCGTCTGGCTGAGTGATAATATTATGACAGGTTGTGGAGGGCGGAGAGGTGCGTGTGGGGAGGGGGAGTGGGGAGGGGCGGTGGGGAGGGGCAGTGGGAGGAGCTAGAGGTTGCCGATTTTCAACCTTCCTTCTGATAGGTTGTGGAGGTTGGGGGAGGAGGAGGAAGAGGAGGGCAAGGGGAGAGAGATGAGAGAAGGGGGGAAGGAAGGGGAGAGGTACGATGTTCCTCCCTTCTGACAGATTGTGGGGGGGGTGGAGGGAGGAGGATGAGGAGTGAGAGATGCCATGACTTAACCTCCACTTCCACCATCTCCCCATCTACTTACCATCCCACCCTCTCCCTCCCCCTCTCCCCACCTACCTCCCACCCCTCTCCCTACTAATCACCCACCTCCTCCTCCTCCTACTCTTCTCTCACCCACTCTCGCGGGCTTGAATTCACCCAACATCATCATCATCCACTCCCGGAAATATATTAAGTCGTGGTTCGTCAGCTGGTCTTCTCCTGTAGTAGTGCAGTTGACAGCCACGGATGACAAGCGTTAAGTGACGGTGCAGTGGTGGTGGTGATGTGATGTTGTGGTGTTGTGGTGTTGTTGTTGTTGGTGTGGATGTCATCTGTGTATTCCTGGGTTTGTGTGTCGCTGTTTGTGTCCGCTGAGGTTGGTCGTGTGTTGGAGCTATTGTGGTGGTCGTGGTGTGGTGGTTGTGGTGTGGTGGTCGTGGTGTGTGGTCGTGGTGTGGTGGTCGTGGTGTGGTGGTTGTGGTGTGGTGGTCGGGTGGTGGTGTGGTGGGTGGTCTGGTGTCGTGGTGTGGTGGTGGTCGTGGTGTGGTGGTGTGTGGTGGTCGTGGTGTCGTGGTGTGGTGTGGTGGGTGGTGGTCGTGGTGTGGTGGTCGTGGTGTCGTGGTTGTGGTGTGGTGGTGGCGTAGTGTGGTGGTCGTGGTGTCGTGGTTGTGGTGTGGTGGTTGTGGTGTAGTGGTTGTGAGGTGTCGTGTATGGTAGGATTACGATGAAGTCACAGCTATGGTAGTATTATCGTGGTTATGGTGGGCGTGTTTTGAGGTGTGATGGTATATGACAGAAGACAGTATATGGAACAGAAGACAGGTATATGGAACAGAAGACGAATGGAACGAAGACAGGTATATGGAACAGAAGACAGGTATATGGAACAGAAGACAGGCATATGGGACAGAAGACAGGTATTTGGGAATAGAAGACAGGTATATGGAACAGAAGACAGGTATATGGAACAGAAGACAGGTATATGGAACAGAAGACAGGTATATGGAACAGAAGACAGGTATATGGGACGAAGAAGACAGGTATTTGGGAATAGAAGACAGGTATATGGAACAGAAGACAGGTATATGGAACAGAAGACAGGTATATGGAACAGAAGACGGGTATATAGACAGGTATATGGAAGAAGAGGTATAGGGAAGGTTGAGAAGACAGGTATATGGAACGAAGACAGTATATGGAACAGAAGACAGGTATATGGAACAGAAGAAAGGTATATGGGACAGAAGACAGGTATATGGAACAGAAGACAGGTATATGGACAGAAGTGGGTATATGGAACGAAGACAGTATGGAACAGAAGACAGGTATATGGAACAGAAGACAGGCATATGGGACAGAAGACAGGTATTTGGAACAGAAGACAGGTATATGGAACAGAAGACAGTATATGGAACAGAAGACAGGTATATGGAACAGAAGAAGGTATATGGGACAGAAGACAGGTATTGGAACAGAAAGACAGGTATATGGAACAGAAGACAGGTATATGGGACAGAAGACAGGTATATGGAACAGAAGACAGGTATATGGAACAGAAGACAGGTATATGGAACAGAAGACAGGTATATGGAACAGAAGACAGGTATGGAACGAAGACAGGTATATGGAACAGAAACAGGTATATGGAACAGAAGACAGGTATATGGAACGAAGACGGTATATGGAACAGAAGACGAGCATATGGGACAGAAGACAGGTATTTGGAATAGAAGACAGGTATATGGAACGAAGACAGTATGGAACAGAAGACAGTATATGGAACAGAAGACAGGTATATGGAACAGAAGACAGGTATTTGGAATAGAAGACAGGTATATGGAACAGAAGCAGTAAATGGAACAGAAGACAGGTATATGGAACAGTAGACAGGTATATGAACAGAAGACAGGTATATGGAACAGAAGACAGGTATTTGGAATAGAAGACAGGTATATGGAACGAAGACAGTATATGGAACGAAGACAGGCATTGGGACGAAGACAGGTTTGGAATAGAAGGTATATGGAACAGAAGACGTATATGGAACAGAAGACAGGTATATGGAACAGAAGACAGGTATATGGAACGAAGACAGGTATATGAACAGAAGACAGGTATATGGAACAGAAGACAGGTATATGGAACAGAAGACAGGTATATGGAACAGAAGATATATGGAACAGAAACAGGTATATGGAACAGAAGACAGGTATATGGAACAGAAGACAGGTATATGGAACAGAAGACAGGTATATGGAACAGAAGACAGGTATATGGAACGAAGACAGGTATATAGGAACGAAGACAGGTATATGGAACAGAAGACAGGTATATGGACAGAAGACAGGTATTTGGAATAGAAGACAGGTATATGGAACGAGGCAAGTATATGGAACAGAAGACAGGTATATGGAACAGAAGACTATTGACAGAAGACGGCATATGGGACAAGACAGGTATTTGGAATAAAGACAGGTATATGGAACAGAAGACAGTATATGGAACAGTAGACAGGACTAATTGTAGATATTAATAATTGACTAGAAATTATAAGAAATAAAATCCTCTCCCCCAAAAAGAGAAAATGGGGAAAAATACTGTTTTTCTTCCTCCCCCCAAAATAATGTGAAAATGTTGGGGAAAATCAGTATTATTCTCACCCCAAAACAAGAGGAAAATGTTAGGTTAAAAAATGCTCAGTATTTTCCCGTATATCTGTGAGGTAATTGTGTCATCATTTAGTAGTTTTAATGCTAGAGAATATTCGTGTGTGTGTGTGTGTGTGTGTGTGTGTGTGTGTGTGTGTGTGTGTGTGTGTTGTAAATGAACCCAAAATTGACCTCATAAAAATGGTTGCACTTGGTGGGGGGAGCAACGAGGCAGCAAATTGTCACAATAATACCAGCAGCCGGAGTTTCCCAAGGTTCTAAATCTCTCGATGTCCGATGGCCGCCAGCTTTCATTGCCGCCTAGACCATTAGCTTCCAGGACCACCGCTACTTCCTCCATTCCTTTGCTTGTGTACAGGAGTGGCAGCAACAACTTGTGCATGGTGTACCTACGCTTGCTGGAGTGACCGTGAAAGTACTTCTTCCTTTATCGGTATATTATTGGTATTTACGCTGGGTATATGTATTTACACTCGGTAATACTAACCCTAAAGTACTTCCTTCACTCATATACTCTCGGTACTTTCGCTGTATATACAAATAATCACTAACTTCAGTATACACTCCCATTACCCCTATAACTATCAGAGATGCATTATGTTACACTCGGTACACTCACCTCAGTACACCCCCCCCCCTTCCCTCCTCTCCTGTACCGATTCTCTAGTTAGTCTTTCCCATCAAACACGCTATTACATTTTGCTTGGGTATGCACTATTCCTTCCTCCCATTGGCTGGCTTTTCCATCATGTGGACAGAATTTCACTTACACTCATGAGAAATAATTAAAGCCGGGAATTGGATCGTTTCAAGCCAGTATGATCAAGGGTTCAAACTCTCTCCTTTAGAATACTTGTTTGGGAGGGTTTTTTTTTGCCCCTCTCTGTAGATACGTAGATTGAACCTGATAATTGTTGGGGGGGGGGGTGGTTCGTTTATTTTTTTTTTTTTTTTTTTTTTTTTAAGTTTGAATCGAATATATTGATGTGTTTTTTTTTTCATTCATCAGAGGTTTTCAAGCCAGGATTTAAACGAACGAAAGATTTGTATATCTTTTCGTTGTGTTATTGAAGGTGAAAGATTGGTGCGTGTTCTGTGAGATTGTTGTCAGTTGCGTAAATAGATGTAGATGGGAGCGTTATGTTTACTCCTTGAGCATTATGAAACTACTACTTGAACATTGTGAAGCTACTACTTGAGCATTATGAAGCTACTCCTTGAGCGTTATGAAGCTACTCCTTGAGCCTTATGAAGCTACTCCTTGAGCATTATGAAACTACTACTTGAACATTGTGAAGCTACTACTTGAGCATTATGAAGCTACTCCTTGAGCGTTATGAAGCTACTCCTTGAGCCTTATGAAGCTACTCCTTGAGTATTATGAAACTACTACTTGAACATTGTGAAGCTACTCCTTGAGCATTATGAAGCTACTCCTTGAGCGTTATGAAGCTACTCCTTGAGCGTTATGAAGCTACTTCTTGAGCATTATGAAACTACACCTTGAGCATTAAACTCAAGCAGCATTCTGAAGTAAGGACGAGCGGACTATTTATCTACAACATAATATATAAATAACGGGTTACAGTCTAGTGTTTGACCTTAAATACTGCGAATCGACTTATTTACACACTGAACGAAAACAAAAGAGAAACTACTGACTAATTAGAGTTTTGGAAGGTGACTACAATCATATGTTTGAGGTTTAAATATTGTGAAATGTTTGTTGACTCGAGGAAAGGTGTAAGTATTATTTTCACCATGAGCGAGGAAGTGTCGGGAAACGTTAGGTTAGGTTAGGTTAGGTTAGGTCATCTGGTAGGACGCTGGGTTGTGTAGTAAGTTTTTTCAGTGGGTGAATCAGTCAGTCAGCCAGGTAGAGTTGGTTTTCGTAGAGCAAGATGACGCAGGTAATATAATACACACACACACACACACACACACACACACACACACACACACACACACACACACATACACGGTATATCTCATATTTACATCGTTACATCAACTAATGACACAGTTAAGTAAATGGGTCAGACTATTAAATGAAAAACTCTTTAATTATATAAGTTGTACGTACACTTGTTACATAAACAGGTGGTGTAATTAACAGCACACCTTACCGTTACATAAACAGGTGGTGTAATTAACAGCACAAACTGAGGGATTATACTTAACTAGAATGTCGGGATGTATAATCCTGGTGACCCCTTAATCAGCTCCACGAGAGAGAGAGAGAGAGGATATCGTCTCATATAACTACTAATTAACAAGGAAATAAAAACCGCACAGAAAACATTAGGCTCAGTGTCCGTCATACAAATTGGCTTTAACAAATGTGTATGTTAGTTATAAAATAGTTAATCTTACATGTATAAAATGGTCTGGGTGAGTGATGAAGAATTTGTTTGTAAATATATATACAGTTTATATGTATACTTTTTAATATATACAGTTTATATGTATATCCCCCAGACTAATAGCGTTAGGGAGTGGGTACGATATTTCTACTAGCAATTTACCTGCTAGTTTGACAGCCCCTAACCTAACCTAACCTAACCCTCGAGTCTGACGTATGATGCGAAAAAACAAATCGTAGTAAAAAAGATGTCAGATGTTAAGTTATTTAATTTATTGTATTGATAATTGTCTCCTGTTTTCCTTGATTTTTTTTTTACAAGTTAAATGTCTACGAGAAACATGTGATTTTTATTATTTATATTATTTATTCAGTCTAAAATGTATAGTTGCTATTTAAATTATTTGTTAATGTTCAGAATGTAGTTTTTTTTTGTTATATAGAACACCAGAACAGAACGTCACATTGGGGCGTCATTCGGTTTTGTTAAGAAAATGGTCATAACAGCAGAACACCACCAGAACACAGCCGTCACATAAATCCGTCACATTCATCCATCACATTCCAAGCTGTCACGTCTATTATCAATTACACTCATCCGTCACACTCATTTATCACACCTATCAATTAGTACAGTCACTCATCCATCACACCACCCAACCGTCACACACGCCATCCATCACACCAGTCATCCATCACACACACCACCCATCACACTCATCCATCACACCACCCAACCGTAACACTCATCCATCACACCACCCACCCGTCAACACTCATCCATCATCACATTCCACCACTGCACCGTCACACACACGCCATCCATCCACCCAACCGTCACACTCCATCACACCACCCATCCACGTCAACACTCATCCATCACACCACCCGTCATCGTCACCCACTCAACACTCATCCATCACACCACCCCCATCACACTCATCCATCACACCACCCAACCGTAACACTCATCCATCACACCACCCACCCGTCAACACTCATCCATCACACCACCCACCCGTCAACACTCATCCATCACACCACCCATCACACTCATCCATCACACCACCCACCCGTCAACACTCATCCATCACACCACCCACCCGTCAACACTCATCCATCACACCACTCAACCGTCACACACATTGGAGCCGCCGTGTCACATATCATCCATCAACCATCCTGAGGTGAGTTGAAGCGTTACCTGTTGAATAATTACATGGCTTCTCTCACTAAACCATTGCAGCGGAGAGTAACGTTGTCTGCAGGTCTCCTGGCTTTGATGAGTTATACGTGGCTAAGATTACGTCAGGCGAGGCGTAATACTCAGGATTCCTTAAGTTGCGTGTGTGTGTCGGTGTATGTGTGTGCGGGGGGTATGTGTGTCGGGGGGTGGGTGGTGTGGGGGTAGTGTGTGTGTAGTGTGGGAGGAAGAAAAGGAAGGTCATGCGTGTTTGTCTGACTGTCCAGAAATTGTCAGTTCTTGTGTGTGGTTGTGGTTGTGTGTGGTGGTGGTGGTTGTGGTAGTAGCTTAATTCTGATGGGCCGAATGTCGTACCTTAATTCTGATTGTCGTACCTTAATTCTGATTGGTCATAAACCAGTGAAGTTCCATTACGTAATATTCCAAGATGATAATTATCTGGAGACTCTTAGGAATAATTCATCTCCTGAAGAATTATGTTCCAGAGCCATAAATTCCGTCCTGTGATGAGTTAATGATGAAGGGCCTCGCGAGTTAAAAAGGGCCTCGTCGAGTTAAAAAGGGACTTGCGAGTTAAAAAGGGACTTGCGAGTTAAAAAGGGACCTGCGAGTTAAAAAG